ACGTTAAAAAATTAAAAGTTTGGATTGTAAAATGATCAATAACACAAATATAAGTTAGTGTTATTTAACATCTCATTCATATTTCTTCATGTGATTGCACTCAAAACTATCCTTAACCAAACCAGAACCTATTTTTTGCTTTTATGAAACAGTGTTGGAATATTTCAGATGTAAACCTGAGAAGGATGAGCCATGTGCTGCTTGCATTGTGATAAGTGCCCAGTGTGCAACTCTGTTTAGATGTTAGCCAGGGATGGATGATTTCCCAAAGCTTCTTATAAAGGGACTGGACTAAATGCTTTAAGCAGGCAGTGGGTGAGAAATGTGAGGAAAAAACTATATAAAGTGTCTTATTATGGTAGTGGGCAACCTTGCACTATAGTACTGGTTCTCAGAGTTTCTGGAAGTCTTCTGATGAGATGAACTTCTTTTTTTTTTTCTCATCTGGCGTCTTGATGGTGTTTACGGGGAGTGCTGTCTAAGAAGCCAGCCTGAGCCTCCCATAGACATTAAAATGGACTCAGAATTACTTGGTGATTGTATCAGTCCCCTCATGCCTTAAGGGTAAGATGCTGTCCTCCTATAAGATAACACTTCAGGACAGAAACTGTGCAAGAAGAGTCAAAGTTAAACGTGCACTAAACCTGTGCATAATGCCCTGCACAGTACAAAAGAGTTGCATAATCCCTTCACTGCAGATGGTCAAGAGCTTTGGGATTTTCCCCAAACATCATCTGTATGTACGGAAGCAAGCGATATCGCTTTTATTAGATAATATCGTTGTTCAATTTCCTCCTGAAGAGAAGTCTACTCTTTTCCAAAGCCCTGTGTGAATTCTTCACTGACAATAAGTGTGTTCTGGCTGTTACATCCCAATGTGTTATGAAAGTAAAATGTGTTGAACTGCAAACAAAAACACAGACACAAATGTTTGAGAAGAGAAACGTTAGTGAGTCATTTGGCTCCACGGAAGAAAAAAAACATCACATTGAAAGTGAGGAAATATTTAGGTTAAGATGGTAGAAATGGTTTATTTTGAAAGGCGTGTTATGACTCTTAACGAGCTTCAAAGATGTAACAAGTGTAATCCACCATGCGTGAGGTACACACTCATCCATCCCCTGCTGGGATTTAAAATGATTAGACTGGATTAATGCAACACCTCTGACACTTCATACACTTCATATTTTTAGAACACACACACACACACAGACACACACACATCCCTGAAGAACAAAAATTTTAAAAATCCCCACAGTACATTTACTTACAGCATGCAGAGAATCAAGATGAAGTAGAGTGTGAAAAGGTCACAGAATGAAAAGTATTCAGATGCACAGCAGTTCAGTGTGGTGTACCTACCCTTGCGTCGTCGACTTGGGAATTCACCTACGGTTTGAGAGTCAGTTCGCTCTAAACCCGCTCTTATTATTTTAGGACTGTGACCTGATTGGTGAAAGAAGACTTTGCTGATTACAACATCTTTTTGGTGATCACAACAGTTCAGCCCTACTGTAACAACTGCTCTGCCATGCAAAGCGAAAGAGACGAGACTTTGATGAAGAAGAGCAAAACCGCAACCTCACGTACACCAATTTACCTTTTTTTTTTTTTTTGCACAGCACACTTCAAGAGGATGATTGTCATGACAACAGCAGACCCATATTGCCCAACATGCACCTCACTCCATGCACCACGGCTTCCCACACAAAGACTGACATCACAGCTGTGCATGCACGACGAGCTGTGTATAAGCGCTGAGAGAACACTGAGAAATCATGTCATGTTGACGAGAGCTCGGACCAATCTGCAGAACAGAGCAACTTGAGGACGACACGCACTGCTCCTTTGCACACTGATTACAACATTTTTCTGCAGTGCTGTCAGAAATGCGCTGCGATTGCAGACGAAGATATTTAATTTTAATGGATCCACGTATAGCGGAAATAAGATGCCGTTTGCTTTGAATACACTTGTCAAAGCGTTTGCAACATACGGCTCAGACATCCAAAGCGGAGAGGAAAGTGCACGGAAGATGAAAAGAGGTTGCAGAGATTCAGATTAGTCTAGAAATGGAAGAAGTGGATGGCTCATTTTAAATATAGGGCTGTTTAAAGGTGATGAGACATCCTACCAATGCATAACAATGAATACACCAATGGTCTCTACTTTAAAAAGCTAAGGTCCAAAAGACAATCAGCACATAATGATGCTCCTAAAAAGCAACATCACTAACATTAATATAATACCATTTAAGGATATCAGTTAAAACATACGAGTTTATATTCTTATTCATGTCTATGTGACATTTTCTAACACAAAAAGCAGGTGTGCACAGATCCAAATATCTAAAACTTGTGATCCAAGTAGAGTAAATTTATGCCAGGAGCAATGGGATTGAACACTGGATAAATATATTTTAATGATAATTTTAATATTTAAAAAAAAGTGTATGAGATAAAACAATATTTAAAAAAAAAAACATAAAAAAGCAAAAAGATTTGGGCTTAAACAATAATACAAAACTCAAACTAGACTACAAACATTTACAATTAGCATTTTTATTCGTCTGCTGCCAAAGATATTCAAAAGTGTAAAAAGTTTTCTTTGGGGTCCACGTGAAAGGGAGAATTCCCAATCGGGAAACGTAAAACTCCAGAAAACTGCTCTGTTTTCGACAGTGACAGTAACAGTAACAGTACCGGCTTTTGGTGTGCTTCTGTGATCATTTCCCATCATTCTTCAACTCTCTTTCAGTCTATGAGGTCCCCAATCAAAAGGCTCCATTCAGATGCTGGGAACAAACGGGATGGAGGTGACCAATTAAGGCCTAAATGACTCCGTGGCACACAGACAGCAGACCCCTCCGAAATGGCTAGCAGAGCCTCACGGGAGCTCGAGGCAAACGCGGTTTTGACAAGGAACTAACTGTGTTGGATGTAATCAGATGTAGGGAAGTAAACTAATTCATCAAGAGGTGAAATAAGCTGGTCAAGGACCGGCACAGAGGAAGACGGTGGTATTTAATACACCAGACAGACCAAAGAAGACAAAATGAGAGAAACACTTTTCCACATTAATTATGACAACAACTAAAGCAGGATGAAAAATGACACCGCTCTGAGAATGAAATTTTGTACAGATGGCTTTATGACCATGAGCCATCCACTGTGGGAATAGCAGCAGAGTGTGAGACAAAGCACGTACAGTTGGTGCATTAGTGAACGCTGAGCATACTAAACTAAGCTCACAGCAGCAACAAACTCACACACAAACCCCCCTGAAGCAAGAACTCCACACACACACTCACACACATCACTTTATGAAGTCACAGCTATGCATGCAAGCACACCTACTGTCCGCTCACCTTTGCGATCGGGTTTGAGATTTCGGTCCACAGGTGGGGGCTGGCACTCACTAAGCAACGGCCTGCGGGGAGGGGTCTTCGGGCTTGAGCGAAATCCCATGTGGGCGGGTGGAGGAACCTGTTTACCCAGGGATGAGAACTCCATAGTACCTGGGGTCATGGGGACGTAGTTGGTTTCGTGCATTGGCTCTGGCAAACTGCCCGAGTGATGATGTGACGGTGAGTTGGCACTCATGGGCACGTAGTTTTGGTCAACCTCTTCTGTAGAATGGCTACCCACTGGCATCATTCCTTTGCTTTTCTGAGGGTGACAAGGGAAAACTGATTAACATACACATTTCCCCCTAAAGCCACAGAACGATTATCCAGCAGTTACACTTGAAATACTCACAAAATAGGTGTTGAAGCTTTCATTGAAGTCAAACGAGCAGCTTTTGTCAGAAGGGAATGATCTAGGAATGTCATAGCAGTCCTGGGATCCAAAGTCTACAAAAAGCAAAACCATGATTACAATGCAGTTTATAAACAGCCCCTCTACACAGAGAGCAGCAAATGATGTGCACTGTACATTATGAGCCTTCTTTCAGGCCCATTTATGCTACAGGACAATTCCCACATAACAGTTGTCCTCTATTGTGTGTTAAGTGTTTTCATGACTTTGCAGATTTAGTCTGTGAGACAAAGCTCAAAGGCACCATGTAAGCACTCTACTTTGCAGCATGTAATTACTGTATTTTTTTATTTTATTGTCATCAGGTACTCATGTAGTTGCTAATGCATTCCACTTATGACCACAAGAACCACAACAGTGCGAGAAAAAGCTTTGAAGACAAATGAGAGTCTCTTCCGGGGAAGAGTAAGAGGGAGGGGGGGAACATTACAAGGAGACATGAGACTGTTTTGGCTCTCCATCACTCCCCCTGTGGCTACCATGCAAGTCTCCCAAGTTGCTCGAGTTTGCTGCAACTCGCTCAATCTGTGCCGAAGCCATCTCACAGCAGAGGCTGCAGGCCAGCAGAGACCGGTGCTCCAGAGACCGGCGTGGTGTGGTAGGTGAACAGCACGTTCACCTTGTTTTTGTTACTCAGTTATTTGTTTTTCTATGGAGTTCTTTCTAAATAAGGACATCCTGTGTAAAAAAAAAATCTCTTTTATGAGGTTTCTTAAGTAAATAAATTATAAAAAATTATAATATTTGCTCAAATTTTTAAAAAAGTGTTTTTTTCCATAACAGTGCAGCCCTGCCCTAGGCACAATAATCTGCTCTGTCACCAAGACACAAAGCATAAAAGGGAAAAAATTCACAAATGCCCCAAATTTATTGGGGGAATAACCACTGCTCATCTAAAACAATAAAGCAAGACCTATTTTGCAATTCCGATTGTCACCACAAGAGGGAGAAGCAAGAAGAATCTACACCATGAGTTTCTCTTCTCTTGCCAGACTATTTTAAGGCTCTGTAAAAAGGATGTTGGCCATGGATTAAAGAACTGTTATTAAAAAGGAAACTCAGAACATTTTTATCTGTTTTTGTTAGATTTTGGTGCAACAAATCTTCATAAGATTAAATAATAGAATATCCTGCCCACCACATATATGTGCCGTATTGTCCAAAAGGTAAAGGTGAGAATAGGTTTTGAAATGAAAATAAAGTGAAAAGGGCACCACAAACAAATAAACCTCTACAATACAAACCTTTGCGGAGGCGTGAACAGTCCACAGTGCCAATAGTGTTGCTGCGTAAAGCCTTACTCCCAGCGCTTGTGGGCACACAGTAGTTTCCATCTGTCTCTGAGGCTGATCGAGGCACACTATAGGTGTCTGTAGGTGAGCGCTCAGCAGGAGGCGGCGGGAGTCCTGAGCTGGAACTGAGGGAAGGCTTGGGTGGTCTGGGAGGGGGCACTACATCTCCCCCGCTTTCTGAGCCTCCTACCCCTGTGTTCGATACTGTGCGGGGCACTTGGTAGGTGCTGTTTGCACCGGGTGTGGGCGGGATGTCGTAACTGATAGAAACGTTGCGCATCTGTGTCTCTACTGAGGGCTTCCGTGTCGGCGTGTTGAAGACATAAAGGTCAGAGGCATCCGCGCCGTCTGGATGAGCCGGAGGGGAGGAGGCTGACTTGGGGAGCAGCACAGTGTCCTGGGAGTAGCTGCGAGGAAGATGATAAAAGCCGCTGTCAGTTGAGAGTGAGGCACCGCGTGATGGAGGCGAGTCATAGATGGAAGGGGCGGACACAGGAGTCTGGTGCGGTGGGAAGAAGCCATTGTGTGAGGTGTGTTTAGCCGAGGAAGTGGAGGATGTAGGCGTGCGGTGAGATGGAAGGTTGTCATTCAGGTCTGTCTCTGAAGAGGTAGACTTGGAGCACTCAGCATGAGCTCTGATAACACAATACACATAAACACCAGATAATTAATACAAAAAGTAAAATATGTTGATTTGCAGATCACACAGTCACACCAAGCCAAAAACACTAGTATACAAAGGCTATGTTAGTAACTAAGTCATATCCAGACAGCTTTTATCATTAAACTTTTCCAACTCTTGCCATGTCAGCACGCTTTTGTGGATAAAGTGGAAGACTGAGGTTCTTGGTAACTGTTTGTAACCATGCAGGAAATAACACAATTATTACACTGTTGGGCAAAACACCCACGTCTTTTTCTGTTTAGAAGGAAGGCCTTTTGCTAAACAAATGCAACCTAGATTTAATAACCGTCATTTACATTTACAACATTTACAAGTGTTTGGAGATCTGTCTTTTACGCGTGTGCAACACTCCACACAAGCAGGCAGTTCCAGCTGGATTGGCTGGCCACTCACAGGCTAGCCTGTGGAGGAACAGTCTTGCTCTCACACTCCTCCAGGAGCAAATACTCCTGGTCCCCCTCCAAGAGAGAGTGATGCTCCACTGAGCTACACACAGCATACGGCAGAGACAAGGACAGGAGTGGCAGTACAGTTGAAAGTATACAAAAAGAATAAATGGCTTGGAAACCACACTGAAAAATGCTTAGCTCACCATGCAACACTCCAACACAGAGAATATGGAGACTTGAACCTATAAAAGAAGCATATTCGGACATGGTCTCACCTGCTGGGTTCAGGCTTTTTGCTCTCACAGTTAGCAAGCCACAGGTAATCCTGGGGCTCCTCTGAACTGGACTGTGAGTCCAGGTGTCGCACGCTGACTGGCTGGTAAGGGGCCGGCACATTGGTAAACACTCCTGGACCTGGGTGTGGAGCGTTTTCCACCACCAGTCCCATGGCGGACTGGTGAGCAGCTTTTGCTGCATCTGGAGGACAAAGAAGTGAAAGCTGAGGATAACTCCTGTCAAAACTAATGTTATTTAGTGAGTAGAACTAAAGAATGAAATACAGTAAAGCTGTCTCCATAACTGACCACAGAGGCTTCAGGCCACTGCCAGTGAATTAATGTCTAAGCAGCAAAAATTTTTTTTAAAAAGGGACAATTTAATGAATGAATAAGATTCATTTCTTACACTGATCACACAACTAAAAAATAGCCACAAGTAATGCCAATAAGACCTGTCACATGTGGCTCAGCGGATGTCAGTAAATGCCTGCTTCACAGTTTTAAGTGCAACACCAGCAGAGCACATTAGCATTTCTGCTACATTTCCAGCTGTTTATTCAACTTTGACTCCACATGCATTGGCAGTCACTGACGAAGAGCAAGGAGCTGCACCTACTGCAGCCCTGTGAAACCCACTGAAAATGAAAGAGAGGCCAGAGATGGTATTAAGCACAAAGTAAAAAGTAAACTGTATGTGCCAATGTCAACTCTAGCAAAGTAAACTTGGACCCAAGTTGTTTCCTAGCAACCCAATTCCAATGTAACGCTCAATTGTTTCCATTCACGCTGACACTACGTCAACTTTGCGCCTGTATGTGTGAACTTGAGCAGCTGATGTATGTACGCACATTCTGACGAACAGATGTACGTCCCTCTACTGTGTATATCAAACCAAACCTCAAATTAAGGTCGTTAGCCTGCAGCTAAAACACTGTTACTGACTGACCCAACAAGCCACAACAACCTACTACAATTACGATAACCTCACTTCCTTCTTGGGCAGAAATCCCACAGGAAATAAATCCAAATGCAGCACACTGCCCAGCATGAGGCCAGGAACACTGGCACAAACAACTCATGTCAAATTAAAGCAGACGGATGTCACCGATATCGCGACTCTGCGTTAGCCTACATCATTTCATGTACAACACATGTCACCCAAATAAAAGCTTTGTGTCGACAGTCTACTTTTTGTTTTTTGCCTTCCAACAAGCTACTCTTCAGACATCATTTTTAAAGGTCTCTCTGCTTTCCCACATGATGAGCTACTAAACAAACCTGCTGCTCAAGCTGATTGTTCTACTGCACTCAGAGCCAAGATAGCTGATGCGTATATGTGTTTTCATTCCACATTTCTCTACTTTTTTCTCCTTTTTCACAGCTCTCCTCCCACACTCTTCTATAACTGATGTGGTTTTATCTCATGCAAGGTCCCCGAGTTCTCTTCTTTTAAAAGTCAGTTTCTCTCCTTTACGTGGTCATTTGCTCCTCTCATCTCCTCCGCTATGTCCTTGTCTTTTTTTTTGACATTTGTTTGTTGAAGCTTTAAGTGCTGATTCATACAGGAAAAGGGAAAATCCCCTCTGCGTGTACTAATCTATACCTCCTACACTCGCTCTGAGAGCCTTCATTCCCCTAGCCCTACTAATGTTCCCTGCCCAGCTATGAAGCACTCTACTGTGGCCACACCCACACACGACAGAGGAGTGAGAGTTCTGTCTCACATGCAGAGAAGTGCAAGCAAGCACAAAACCGAGAGCCAGGGACATTCTTTTGTACTGAGCAGTGAAGGGTATCTGCAAAGATATCCGTTTTTACACCCAGGATCTCCTTTAACCGTCTTACTATGAGTTCGTACATCGGGGTTTTAAAAGCCAGCTCCGACATCTACAGAAAAGGTGCCATCAGTGTTGTTATCATGGTTACCCTGCAACACTAGCTATTTAACAGAGCTGGAGGCATAGTCACACTTTGGAGAGAATGACCTTGGAGGAGTATCAGTGACTCAGTTGCCAGGTTTGAAAAGCACCTTTGTCTCCAACAAGAATCAGAGTTGT